GACATGAGCAGGACTTTAATCACAATGCAATTTTATCCCTTCACCACCTTATGATGAATAATGGGCATGAAAACTGTGACGATTTCCTGAAAAATATATCAATATTTTTCAATAAAAACAATATCTCAGCCATGGAAAAACACGAGGCCAAGATAAAAGTAGCATGTGGCACGAACTAAGATATGGCAGGATCACAGCATCAAAATGCTATGAAGTTAGTCGATGTAAAACTGTGGATGGAACTTTGATAGCCATAATACTGGGTGCAAGAATTCCTGAAACTTCAGCCATATTGAGGGGGAAAAAACTGGAAGATAAAGTTAGAAAAACAGTTGAAAAGATTATAGGAAATAAAATCGACATATGTGTCTGGTGACACATTTCAGAGCAATTTCCAATGATTGCTGGCTCCCCAGACGGTATTAATGATAAGACCACATTTGAAATAAAATGCCCGTCAACAGAAAAAACCCATTTAAACTATATTGATAAGGATGGTGTAATTACAGCATGCACAAGTCCAGATACAAATGTATTGTGCCAATAGAAATGTTATTTTTGTGTAGCAAGCAGTGATTTTGAAAAAAATAATGAAGTCTCTATAATAAACATTGATTACGATCATGATAATGTTACCGAGTTATTGGATAATGTAGTTTCTTTTTGGAAAAATAATATATTTCCAATTTTACATAAAAGTGTGATGTTGGATTCTTAAAAAAATCCATATGGGTGACCCTTTACAGGGATTCAATTTTATTTCCTGAACATCTATCAAATCATATTACTATACAATCTTCTATATTCTAAGTATTATATATACTACTACAAATGACTATTTACATCCTTAGTATGTACATAAAATATCAGTCAATAATCCTATAAGTAAGAAAAATCTAAACTTATTTTCTAAACTTAGAAAATTAGTTACTGATAATAATAAGATACATAGGATAATAAGTAACTGTTTTGTTAAAAAAGGCAAATTTATATATTTTTTGTGCCATACATACTACACTTTAATGCAGTATCACTGTTTAGGATGAATACAGACAAGTTATTGCAATAAATGTATATTTGTCTATTTCTTGTTAATAAATCAGATGAATTAGAAAATAATGAATTAGAAATTCCATCACATAGGGAAAGGCGGTAGTGTTAGAATATTATACCTTTTATGACATTTAGTACACAGCTGGCTGCAGTTAGAAACTCAAATATAGCATTTTGAATACTAGCTTTTTTATTGATGAAATTACCACTAATGTTTAATAATAATTATTTGATCAAAGAATCTTGTAAATTAATAAGAGCACAAGCTGTAGTGATACAAAGATCCAACATACCAATAAGATTAGAGTTGACGACTGAATGCATCTTCAGCATACCAAACTCTCTAACTCTTCGGATCACCCGTTCTACATGAATACGAAGACTGGCTCTTTGTTTTGTTAACCGAGCTTCTGCTTTAGATAATTTACAACCGCTGCTAACACTAGGAGGCCTCATCAAAGTAAACCCTTTCAATGATAAGTAATGTGCAATATTTTTGAACCCTCTATCAGCTAAAATGCAAGCATTAGGTGGCAAGCTATCTAAGAACTTCCTATTCTCAACTAAGTTAACATCGCTTATCCTTCCTGCATATCCTTTTGATACAAAACTTACCACACCGTCTGGGGTACAAGCTATCAAGTATTTAATTGTATTTGTTTTTTTATACTCAGACCAGGTTAGTGCTTGATACATAGCCCTTTTCGGTTTTTGGATTTCAATTTCCAAGCAATCTATTATGCAAGTGACTTTATTAAATTTATGTCTAAAAGCAATGGGAAGATTTTGCTTAATACTTTTTGTTGGAAATTGTTGAATGAATGGTGAGAGCACCTCTACAATTCTTGGCATCTTGTTAAGAAATAAACTGCTTGCTTGAGTCACAGATAGATCAAAATCGTCAGCCAATTGAGAAAATGCTCTGTTTAATTTTATTCTCATTAAACATAATATAATATTTTGTTCAGAAATATTGGTATGTTTTTTAATCAAATCTATTAAAAAATACAGGTCCTTTGGTACTCCAATATAAGATCGTGGCTTATTTTTCACTTTAGCTAAAGTAGCTACCAGGTTAATTTTTTGTTTTATTGCAATGTGGAGCAATGAGGGAGACGTGTTGTTCTTAGAAATAACTTTAATTGAGTGTCTTAAGAACTAACTTACACTACTTACTTATAGGGCGAGGTGTCACACACAATACACCTCCCCCGTTTTTTTCGAAAAAAAAAAAAAAAATTTTTTTTGATCATTAAATCAAACACATAATTATTTCTTAAAATATTCGCACTGTTGACAATATTTAAATACTTTACGATTCAAGTTATAGGTATATTTTGAAATTCATTTGGTAAATTATTCTTACAACTGAAATAATCATAATACTTACAACTGTTATCTCTTTTACAACTTATTATAATCTCTTACTCACTGTTCTATATCCAGGTACACATAATACATTCTATTTTGCTTAAATGTTTCTTTATTATAATTGTAAGGTACATACACATGTAAGCACATTATATTTATACAGGACTCTCCGGTACCTGTTCATTAATTATATTTATTTATCATTCTTCATTTCATTATTATTCTTGTGCTTACTTTTATTCATTTCTATATTTATTTTAAAATTTAGTGTCAATATTTAAGATTCTTATGATCTCCAATAATTTTCACAGAGAGAGCTCGTCTACACCATGATCAAACTAAGGACATGAACACTAAACTGTACCTTACCATGTGTACCTATTATTAACTTATCCTTCAACTATCAAACCTAACATAAACACAATCTAATTGAATTGCTTGGTCTACAAAATATTACGTTGTCTTTAGGTGATCAGCCCTCAGTCATACGCCAAAACTTGTGTACCAAGTTATTCCAAACTACCTAAAAACCAAACTTACATACTTATACAAACAATGAACACATTCCAAAGCCTAGCTAATATCAAATTTCATTCATCTAATTTATTTATTTCATAAGACAGGACAGCAGAGAGGACCAGTGAAGGCAACCACAGCATGTGAGGACAGACCTACAACCGGTCGCGGAACGAAACTTTATATATATAAGATTGAAGATAGCTGGAGAGACAAAAAGAAGACGCATATACGAACGCTCCCTTTTTAGGATGGATTCCCCTACTGGGTCGAGCGTGCAAATACATCCCCCGACAAGTAGAAGCCGAAAACACTTATATATTAGTATATTACGGTTTCCTTTATAGTGCTTGCCATAATCCTAATCATAGTGTCCATCGTGAGGAGCGAATTGAAAGTTATCACATTGGATAAGGAAAGCTCTTTAATGTTGAAAAGGATTTGTGAGGCAACTGTTACCAACTGTTAACATGGCGTACTCATACGACATCAACCCGGACCCTCAAGCCTCTGAGCTTTTCCGGTCGACATTTCAGGCCCCCCTGCCTATGTCTGGTTCTGCAATATCAAAGCTGCAGGACGTCCCAACATGTTCAGATTTAACCACCATGAGGGGGAGTACTCGCGAAGTGGCCATAACCACTTGGAACACCCAATGCCATCATTATCCAACTAGTTTTGGATATACCCGAACTGTGCCCGTCAGAGAAGCGGAACGTCCAAGACAAAATAGAACAACCATCTTGATGGATGGCGCTCTCAGCCAAGTCGTGGCTAAGATTAAGAATATAATGGTGTCACGAGACGTAAAATCTTAAGTGCGCCGGTTCGATAAAATTGACGTCCCATGCCCTAAAGTGGTACATGAATATAATATGCACATGGGGGGAGTTGACCTCATGGACATAACTTGGGACGGCATCGTATAAGAGTCAAAAGTAAAAAATGGTATATGCGACTATTTTACCATTTGCTAGACCTCGCTGTCATCAACTCTGGGTTCTCTTCAAGAAAAACATGACTGCAAAAGGTACCCCAAAAAGTAACTGCCAAATCTAGGAGAGTTCCGAAATGAATGTGCAATGTGGGAACAAGCTACGGTAGCAAAAGAGGTCGGCCAAGCAACAGCTGCTTAGAAGAACAAGCTAAGAAACGAAGAGGACCAGCTCATCCGCTTCCTTGTAAGGACGTGCGTTCAGATGGTGTTGCGCACTGGCCCATTTTTTCAAAGCGTTTACGCTGTAAACTGCCACAATGTAAAGGCACAACCCAATGGGCATGCTCAAAATGCAATATCCCTCTATGTTTGAACGGAACTAACAACTGTTTCACAGATTTTCATACTACTCCTTAGTATGATAATTTAAGAGGATTTTGCATGATGATGTAATATTGCATCAATAAATAAAATAAAAAAATTTCACAAAAAACTGTAGTTTGATATTTTTCATTATTTTTCCTTTAATGTACACCTCATTTAGGAGCCCTGATATTTTTCTCGGCCCAAAATAAAAAATCATGCAGTTAAGGGATATAAGCAAAGCCCAAAAGCTTATAGGCTTTTGCAAACCATGTTTGTTTTGCCTTCGAAGAGGTCTATACAAAAAATGTTTAGTGCAGTGGCAATTGTGCCAGGCATAAATAATATTATTATAAAAAATTTCAACAATGAGAGCTAATTAATTAATTTGTTATTCGATGAGGTTTCTTTGGGTCCAGGTCTTTAATACAATATTAGGTAAAATTATTGGCTTCGAAGATCTGGGGACCACGTGCAGGCAATCTCTGGCTGACCATGCCCTTGTAATCATGATTAAAAGCATAAAAATCAAATATTAAGCCGGGTATTCATTAGGCAACATTTGTTTATAAACACTGTTTATAAACAGTGTTTCACAATGTTTCATCATCTATGTAAACAGTTTATATACAAAGGTGATGCAACATTGTTTATTAAACATGTTGCCATGCTCCCCACTTCGAGTGGAGAGCAAGACGAAACGTCTAGTTTATAAGCAAAAGTCAATAGGTGTGGATGTGTGTTGCGTGAGTTTATAAACATGGAAGTAGTGTGGTCCAACAACCAGGTTTCGATGCTCATAGAGCTTTACCAACAGCGTAATATACTTTGGGATGCTTCAAATAAAGATTATAAAGATAAATTAAAAAAAAATGATGCTTGGGCCGACATTGCTGCAGAATTGAATATGTCGCAAAAGGAAGCGGAAACAAAGATGCATATTCTACGCTCACAATTTTCTCGTGAAAAGAAAAAACTTAAGTCATCAAAAAGAACTGGAAGCGGTGCCGAGGAAGTGATTAAAAGCAGATGGCAGTGGTATGATCCGCTACAATTTTTATTACGTGGTGCAACGACATCTGGAACATCGGATACAATGGGAACGGTGAGTACCTACATTTTTATATTATTTGCTAAGTTGATAATATTAATGTAATTTTTTCATCTTTTCAAGGTAACGGGTTAGTAAATTTTAAATCAAACACAAAACTCTAAATTATAATCAGAACTTTATTTGGAAAAAAACAGGTAGGTACATAGGTACCTACTATTTTAAGTATTATGCATGAGAATTTTGCCACGGCACACAACCTTCTGGACTAATGAAATATTCAGCAAATTGATCTCTTACAACCGTAGCAGCTAGTGGGGGATGTCTTGCAATAGGTTGTAAATCCAACATGCTGTTGTGAGGGCCGATTTCTCTTCGCCAAAAACCTTCTATAATGTTATATTCTGAGTCTTCATAATCGAATGTTCCTGGCGGAGTATATATAGCCCGAGACTGTTTATTGCGCCTCAAAAAATTATGCAAATATACACATGTCATTGTTACAATTTCACAAGTAGCAGGCTAAGAGGTATGGCTTTTCTGAAAACGCGAAAGACAGCACATAATATGTCAAACTCATTTTTTACTATCCTTCTTGATCTGGAAAGACGGTAGTTGTAAATGCGCTTTATAGTTCCACGATTGCGAATACCAGGATAAGGCTACAATGCGGGAAATTCCATAATAATTCGAACTGGCGAGCCTAGTTTTTCCATTCTTGTTCAGTACTTGGAACCTGTAACCAATTTAAAACAATGATTTACAGGATGGCAGTGCCTCAACGCAGCCGTCAAATACACCGCCAACTATGCCGCCGCCACCGCCAACATCACAACTGCCACTGCCACCGCCGCCACCGCCACCGCCACTTCCACAGTCAAACAACTCCAAAAAGAGGAAGTGTGACGAGAATCTCAATGAAATGTATGAAATTATGAAAAGTGCCAAAAAGAAGATGGAGGAACCTAAAGACGAATTTGAAATTTATGGCCAGTATGTGGCATCTGAATTGAAAAATGTGAAAAACCAAAGAGCACTGTTACAGGCCAAGTATTACATAAATAATATATTGCTACAAGCGAGAATGGGCAATTTCGATAGTAAATATTTTGGTGGATATCAAGGCTATGGAGATGGATGGCTCGGCTATGGCGACGGATACCGCACCACATCATCAACGTCGACATATGCTGATGCATCTACACCAACGCAGACACCAGAACCCCAAGTCCATACTGCTACTGGTGACGAGTTGCGCTTTAGTAATCTTGACGAAATAGTTTCCCAGTTGGAAGATGACACACAATAAATAAATTGATGTGAATTCTGCTGTGGAATGCGCTGCCCACGGATGTCAGGACGGCAACCAGCCGGCTTAGTTTTAAAGTTAAGGTTCGTGAACTATTGCAGAGGGAACAGACAGACGCATCACCTACTTAATTTATCATTTTGGCGATTGTATTTAATATATATGTATAAATATATATATATATTATAAATATATATTATATGTATTTTTATTCCCAATTTATTTATTCACTTTTATAGTATTGTTATTTAGTAATATTGATAATGTATCTTATGTAATTTACATTATACCTATATATACGGATATATGTATGTATTTACAGTTATGCTTCACATAAACCATTATACCTATTACACCTACTGTTGCACATCTCTGCATCACCCCATGGTTGACTGTTAGAGAATGCCACCCGGCATTAAGTCCGCCATCGTATGTTTGTTATACAGAAGTGTTAATAAATAAATAAATAAAAAATAAATAAATTGATGTGATTTGATTTAAATATTTGATAAATACCTACTTGAGTGATTTGAATTTATTTTATTTTACTCACCTTTACATAGTCCTTTAAAACTTTTGTCAATTCCTGACAAACTTCTCGTATAATCTTGCTGATTAATTGTTTTGATACTTTAAAAGTATATGACAGTGAGCCATATGAGTCACCTGTTGCAAGAAACCTTAAAGTTATAGCTAGATGCCGAAATTTCGTTTCCTGTTTTGTTATGGCTGGTCCAATCAATCTCAGTAAAATTTCAAAATCTGATGTTGACATTCTCGTGAAATTTTGAAAAGACCCATCAAATCCACGAAGGTCATGAAATAGGTACATAACTTCTATTTAAAAGATAATTTCGAATCCACCACCTTTTCTTCTTTTTTTTTCTAGTAGCACTCTTATGTAATATTATATAAGCAGCACAGAGCATCACTACCTCCTCGGGCGACATCCTGGCAACAACTGAGAAGTGTGGACTGCCAAGTTTCAGAAACAGTGTTTACGGTAAACTTGTTAATAAACCCGTCATAAACAGTTTATTAACAAATGTAGCCTAATGAATACCCGGCTAGGGAGCTCCGTAACCGTAACCGAATCCGAAATTAAAGTTTCGGATAGTATCGGATAGGGGCGGAGCCTAATTGAGACACGTTATGACAAGTTGTTTTGATCGGCCGGCCGCTGCTAGTGCCGACACACAAGCTGCGCGCATTGTTTGTTTTTCTTCTTTGACAAATGTGTTGGTTGTGTTACGGAATCGATTGAATTTGTACAAAATGCGTCTTAAGTCGAGTGCGTCAGATTTCAGGAGATTGAGAATAATAAAATATATACAATAGATAAGTAGCTAGATCCACCTAAATATTTAAGGGCTGGAGAGGAGTACAAGTTCGGCGCATTTCAAGTAAATTATTTACTTCAGATTATTATATATTATTATCAGAGTTTATCCATTTTTTGACACGCCTCACCTATTAAAAGGCGTCAGAGATAATTTATTGAAAAAAGACGCCAAATTCATGCACAATGGTGAGGTTAAGTGGGCAAAATGGACAACATTTACTTATGCTTTTAAATGTAGATATAGGCGATGATGAAATAAGATTATGTAATAAAATAACTGAAAGCCATGTAATCGAAAGTAAAATGCCGAAAATGAAGGTAAATCATGCTGCACAAGTTTTCAGCCAGAGAGTGTCTGCAGCACTCAGATTTTTAGCTTGTAAGTACATCAATTAATTCATTATTTATATGTATAAAAAATCGAGCTTTTACTGGATTGGCAATTTATATGTGTATTTATTCCAATTAATTTTGTTTCAGGGCAATCGATACTTCCTGTGGAATGCCAACAAACAGTTGATTTTTTACTGATGTTTTATCAATTATTTGATTCATTTAATGGTCATTCTTATCAAACTTCGACGAATAAATATAAATCATGTTTTTAAAATGATTAACTGCACATACAACTACGGAATGATTTACTGCCTGTATTAGAATCAATAAAATTTCAATCAAATACGCATAATAATCATCTAGGTAATGTACGTTTGAATCAACTCCTTCAATCAAGAATTGGATTCATAATGTTAAAACTTTTAAAGAAATGTGGGTTGATTTGAATACTAATCACAATGTAAACAGTTTACTAACAAGAAATTTCAATCAAGATCCTTTAGAAACATTTTTCAGTAGTATTTATTAGAATCAATGGAATCAGAAATACTAATCCAACATGCAATCAATTTATAAATGCCTATAAGACGATGATTATTAATAATATTAATTCAATACATCCACCAAATGCGAATTGTGAAAAAGATAATAATTGTTTATTTCAATCTCTAATTCATTTAATAAATACACCTGCACATATTTCTTCAAATGATGATTTTGCATGCGAAGTTGATTCGTTAATAACGGTGATGGCCAACATTAAAATAATGTTAATAATGTACTGCATGCTGAATCAAAAAAAATATGTAACTGGATTTGTCATCAAAAAATGTAAATATAAAGTTTTTAGAAGTTGTGACATATGCATGCGTGATTTTTGTAGCTCTGCTATTGAAGACAAGCAATCGATTAATTATGGAATTGATTATACCTCTACAAAGAAATCTTTATTTTATCCTAATGAAAACTTCAATGAAATAATGAATGTAATATATTATTTGACCGTTGCATGCTTACGTATATCCGAATCAGTTCGTTAAAAAGACAAAATACAATTCTTGTTAAATTGTGCATGTGATTACTGTATGATTACTTGTGATTTACACAGATCTCAGTTGATTGAATTCATTAATGATCTCTCGATTAAATTGATTATCCATAGTTAGTATACGAACGTGAATAGGATTTTAATGTAAAAAATTACTTATTTTGATAAGGATGACCATAGAAAAGAAAAAGCCTACAATTATTTTGAAAAGCGTAAAATGAATAAAAAATGATACCTATATATATTAGTTGTATTTTTTTATGTACCCCAAACCCCAATGACAATGATGTACAAAACAAATTGACCTAAAGGTGGTCATGCATAGAATTTTTGAGCACGGTCATTTAGTTTTGTTTTTAAAGAAACTGAGTGAAATTAAGGTGCAACTACATTCCACACAGTACGCCATCTAGTGCATTCACGGGGTACTAAACAATTGTGATCAGCTCCATCTTTTGGGCGGATAATGTCATTAAATTTCTTGAAAGCATAGATGAGTTGATAAATATCAAAAGCCCATAATTGTCCACCACAGACAAAAAAAAATCTTTTAGTCAACGTATAGAGAAGGAAAAGAAATAATATTTATTTCTATGTTTTACAAATTCTAATATGTCCACTTTTTAACACAAAAACGTTGGTCAAAAACTCCGTTTCTTTTCAAAATCGAATAAGTCCCCAAAGACTTTCATAACAAAATCCAATACGTCCCAACGCACCAATCAAATCAAACGACTGGCTATGAATGCTATGATGGCGGCCATTAGTGTTTTGGTTACAGATCGTTTTTGATACGGCTCCGCAATTTATCTTCATTGAAAATAGTTAAATAGCGCTGGAATGGACTCACAAGAAAAAAACGTTGAACCCGATAAAGCTAGGAAAAGGTCAAATATAAAATCGCAGCAGAAGAAAGCAGAAAAAAAACGGAAATTGTAAGTTTAAATTTCTTTACCTACGCCTGAGCTTGCTGTAGTAGGTATAGAGTTGCAACCGCATTCACTACGATTTTGGATTCTGGGATGTTTATAAATTCTAAGGTCCTATACTTAAGATACATTTCTACTTCAATAAAAATAAATTATATTAATAGTTTTATTATTGTCAGTGTAGTGTAAATTCGTACAGAAAATATCGAAAACTAATAAATCGAAAACGATAAGGGTTATGAAATTTGTAAGTTTTTAGGGTTCCTTACCCAAAGGGTAAAAGCGGGACCCTATTACTAAGACTTCACTGTCTGTATGTCTGTCGCCAGGCTGTATCTCAAGAACTGCGATAGCAAGAGAGTTGAAATTTTCACAAATTATGTATTTCTGTTGCCGGTACAACAACAAATACCTACTAAAAACCAAATAAAATTAATATTTAATGGGGTCTCCCATACAACAAACGCGATTTGTATGCCGTTTTTTGCTAAGGACGGTACGAAACCCTGCGTGCGCGTACTTGACTCGCACTTGCTCGGTTTTTTATGCATTACTATGGATTTAGTAGAGGTTTAGTAGAGGTACACGCGAATGTTTTTTTTTTCAGATATTTCGCACCGGGTTTGCCTAAAAAGCCTACATGTAAACATAACTCAGACTATGAAATGTTTGTTGTCCCTGTTAGTAAAAAAACTATATTGCTGGCTTCCCGATTAAAGTCATCCAGAGTTGAAGGAGTATCGAAAAGACGTTAAGAAACTGGTGGTTTAGCAAAGGAAAGAACAGGGGCAACAGAAAGCAAGTGCGATGATCAGTCTTTGTCAGGATTTAGTGTTAAGGAAGGCTTTTACAGAAAAATATTTAACACAAGATTTAATATAGGATTTGGTAGTCCGAGGACAGATGTATGTTCTGTCTTCAACTGATTGAAAAAATTAAAGTTGAATCATCACCAGCGAAGAAACAGGAACTTATGTCACAACACAGAATACTCAAATTGCGTGCTAAACAATTGTATAAAATGTTACAAGAGGAAGTCCCTAGTTTTCTTATAATTTCGTTTGATTATGAAAAAATCTTCCACTACCAAAACAGAGAAAAAAAGTTTGCAGATTATGTCTTAGTATTCATGATAAAAGGCATAAAAAAATTATAAACAGCCAGTAGCATACTATTTTACCAATAATATGAAGAAATTTGTACCAAAAGACATAATTAAGATAGTCATAAAAAATGTACAGGATGCTGGACTTATTATTTTAAATACCGTGTGTGGTCAAAGCACAGTAAATGTCAGCGCAATCACAAGCCTGATAGAAGATACTAAAAGTATGTATTTGAAAAA